CTCGCTTGGCCCCTCGGGGATGGCAGAGTGCCTCCAGGTGAGTGTCCCCCAAGACACAAATGCCCCCCTCCGCCCATCCCAGCGCGATGTGAGGGAGCTAATCAGGAGCTTCAAAGCTATAGAAGGTTTGGCCATGGACCTTGAGAAACATAACCCAGTGCAGGGGGTTCAGGGCATGGCTGAGGGGTTTTCTGTAACAGAACTGTGACTGTTGTCCTGCCTGGGTTCCAGGTCCCTTTGTCCCCATCACCGGAGTGAGGTGTATGCTGGGCATGCTGTCTAGGAAGCTCTTCACTGGGTAAGCCTCAGGCCTAGGCAAGGCTGAACAGAAGACAGCAGTACCATGGAGGAGCGTCCTGTACCTCCTGACTTCAGAGCTGGCAGTCCACCTCATTCTTACAGGGAGAGGAAAAGCAAGTATCCCCACAGCTCCCCTACAGTGGCCGCAGAGCTGTCACCTCTGACCCGTGACAAGCAGGCTGTACTTGGCAACTGGCTAGCAGTCCTTTTGACCTAACAGGTCCTCGGTGCGAAATGCTTTGTGGCACTCCAGGAACAAAGGCAGCTCTGATGAAATGTTTCAGACCAAAGTCAAGGTTGGTCAAATACCTCTACCCCTGCAGGAATATTTCCAAAATCCCTGGAATTTTCCAAGGCAACTGGGAGACTTATTTTGCTGATACTTTTACTGTCTCTTGTAACATCATAATTTTGGGAAGGGGGGGGAGGATGAGTTGGGAGGCCATGGAGACCAAGGGAACTGGCTCTCTTGCCAGCTCTCTGGCCTTGATAGCTCCTTGCCCTAAATATGTTCTGCCCTCCATAGCTTCCTGCCCTCCTCAGCTCCCTCCTCCTATGCCTACGGCTTCCCTCCCTTCACTGAAGGCTCCCAAGCATATGCCAGGTCGCCCACGCAAATCTCTGCTCCCAGGTATCCTGCGTCGCCAGGGATCACCACAGGAGAAGCTAGATTTTGTGTCACAGCCCACAGAACTTACTGAAGCAAGTTCTGAGGGCGAACCCTGTCTCAGGATCGCTTCTATACTCTTATATATAAGCAGCGTGTGCACAGGGCAGGCTGAGGACAGAACAGGGTCATCAGAGCTGAGCTTCTAATGCGGTTGCCTTTTGGCATCCAGGCCATCATGACCACTTCCCCTAGCAGAAACATTCTCTGTATCCTTCAGTCTCAGCATCCTCGTGTCTGAGGGCAAGTCTAACATGAGATAAAATGACACCCATGGATTCCATCATACCTGTATGTGGACCACCCCAGGACTGGGCAAGCCAGCTTCTGAACAGCACTTTACCCAGATCAGCCACCAGAGGGCGGTACAGGACCGCTGTAAAAACTGATCTCTAGAGAAGTTTTCCCAGGCCCAGCCAGAGCTTCAGGAGTTGGGCGGGCTTTGCAGGTCTGCAGGCCTTGGGAGGCCAAGGGGACACGGTTAAAACAGACACTCACGTAGGTCGCTCTTCCTCCTGATGGTGGTGGCACAATGGGGACACTTGTATTTGGGCACGTTGTCGCCGTGCTTCTGGGCCATATGGGTCTTCATGGTCCCACTCTGGGTGAAGCGGGCATGGCAGGTGGAGCACTCATAAGGTTTCTCGCCTGTGACGTGAACAAGTGACTCTGGAGTGTGGCTTCCCTGTGAGCCCCAGGCCTCCCCGAGGGACCTGTGTGCTGGGGCTTCTCCTCTCTGTGGGTCTTAGCCTCAGTGGCATAGGACCAGGAAGGCAAGCCTGGCAGCAGGGTCCCAGGGCCCGCACGTGCACTCCCTGGCACTGGTGGTCCCTCAACAACTCACAGCGGGTGCATGAGACTGTGCATGGCAGGAGACCTGTGCATACACAGTCTTTACCTAGGCAACCAACTGAGCAGGTGATTGGCTGTCAATGGGTGTGTACGCCTGGCTCTCACCTGAGTGGGTCCGCATGTGGCGCTTCAGCTTGTAGCTGTCCTTGCTGGCATACTCGCACTGGCAGCACTGGAAGGGGCGCTCGCCCGTATGGGAGCGGATATGGCGCTTCAGCTTGCTTGCCTAGGATGTGTGGGAGAGGGTTACTGAGCTGGGAACCTGAGGGTGGTCAGGGCTTCAGTTAACCAACTTCGCAAGAGAGCAGCGAAGCTTGCACGGCAGCTCATGCCTGTAACCCAGCACTCAGGAAGCAGAGGAAGGGGGATTGCTGTAGTTCAAGACCCATTAAGGCGATATCAGGAGACCTTGTCTCATACTGCTCCCCCCCCCCAAAAAAAAAAAAACCAGAAAGGAGAGAGAGAGAGAAGAAAACAGGCATGGTAGTACATGCTTGCAATTCCAACTTTGAAGAAGCTAAGGCAAGAGGATTGCTGCAAGTTGGAGAACAACCTGGCTCATATAGTGAATCCAAGGCTAACCTGGGCTACAGAGACCCTGTCTCAAAACACAAAACAAAAGGAAAAAATTTAAGTTAGCCAGATCTCAGGAACACAGTGTCCCATAAAACGGAACTGCCCTGTCTGCTGCTGATTCTTAATTTTGTCACTGGCTGTGTGTACAAGGTCGTTTGGGGTTAATGAGCGGTGGTCAGGGACATCCACACTAAATTTCACATTACAAATGGAGCAGAGCGCTCTGCTCAGCGCTGACTGGGTTTCTATCTTCATTTCTAAGGCCTTGCCCGCTTACAGCAGTAAAGTCTAAGTCGCTTGTAAGCACACAAGCCGGAAAAGCTTTCCAAAGTGGGAAACCTCAACTGTTAGCTACATGGAGGGCCAGCTCGAGGCACCCAAACTTCAGAGTCCTCAGGGGCCAGAGGGCTGTTCAAGACAGAGGTGGCCCCCTGGCCACGAACTGTGCTTCTGTGTGCTACTGGCTTTTCTTTACAAATGTTTTTGTTGTTTTAGAGACAGGGACTCATCTGTAGTTCAGCTTGGCCTTGGGCGGGCAGCAATCCTGTGGCCTTCCCCTCCTCCATGCTGGCCTTGCTTACCCAGGAGGCAGAGGCAAGGGGAACTGTGGGTTTGAAGTCAGCCTGGTCTGCACAGTGAGTTCCCAAGCCAGCCAAGGCTACAGATTGAGTACTAGACCAGATGCCGCCTCAAACACACACAAAAGTAGCAAAGAGGGGAGTTGTAAGTGGAAGAGAAGAAACTCTATCAGGGTTTGGAGGCCATTAAAAAGGAAACAGCATGGGACTTGCCATTCCCCGGGGCGGTGTGCTTGGCTGTCCTCTGGGACATTCTGAGACCATGAGTTCACCGCAAACCCTTCTCCGTGTTTCCCGGGGATCAGGGCCATCAGGACCAGAGGGGCCTTGGAAATCAACGTCAGCCCTGCTTACAAACTCAGAAAGACTACATGGACCACTTCCCTGGAATGCAGAATGCACACCTGGGCCAGAAGACTCTCTAGGAACAGAGGAAGGCTTCAAGTGAAAACTAAGACCCAAGATGAACAACTCAGCCTGGATTTATTTATTTACTTTTTAAAGAATACTGAAGCCAGGCTGTTGTGGCGCCCACCTTTAATCCCAGCAGTCAGGAGGCAAAGGCAGGCAGATCAATGTGCATTTGAGGCCAGGCTGGTCTACAAAGTGAATTCCAGAAAAGCTAGAGCTACACAGAGAAACCCTGTGTCAAAAAGAGGAAGAAGAAGAGGAGAAGGAAGAAGGTAAGGAGGTAATAATAATATGGGAATCATGGAAAGCAAAGAAAAAGAACTTTTAACACTGCAGTGTGGGAGGGTTCAGGGTTCAGGGTTCAGCAAAGCAAGTGGTAGGAGATCAGAGGTGGCAACATAGGCTGCCCCTGTGTGTTTTCCCGAGGTAGACAAATGCTCTACCACTGAGCTCCAACTCCAGCCCCCTTTTTACATTTTATTTGTGCAAGGCTGGCCTTGAACTCACGATGCAGCCCAGGCAGGCCTTCAACTTGCCTCCAAGGGGCTCAACAGGATGCAAAAGCCTAAGAAACTAGTATGTCTAATCCACTTTCTTGCTCAGGAATAAAAGGGTAGGGCAGGAAGGGTACAGCCCATCACCCTTTCTCAATGTTAGCCATCAAGCACCATCAAATGGTGGTGGTAGCATAGTGGTCAGTGCCCCATGGGCCATCCCTGGGCTGCATGGACTCTCTGCTACTGGGCAGGGTCTCAGAGCCTTGGTGCCTCCATGCAGGACAGCTTCTGCACCCTCACATTGCTGCCACAACCTTTGCCTTAGACAGGAAAGCTCTTTTTAAAAATAGCCACAGCAGAAAGAGGTTCTTGGAATGGAATTCTGACCTGTCTGTGAAATACCCCAGTTTATGAAACACACTTGCGTCATTGCCGAGGTTAAGCTTTTGCCGTCCCCTTTAGCTTAGTTCCTGTCAGAAGTCCCTGCTTAACCCTCCTATGCCAGGCTCACCACCGGGATGCAGCCAGCTTCCTCACATGAAGCAGAACCTTGGACATGGACTGCTAAAAAATGGACCCGAAAAGGAGATGCCAACACGGCCTTTGTTTTTGCTGAGGTAGGAACATTTCAAGTGCAAGGCCTGTTTTGGGTTTGCAGGGTGAGTTCAAAGGCAGCCTGAGCAACTTAGTGAGGCTCTGTCTCAAAAGAAATCGCTGAGGACATAGCTCAGAGGCAGAGCAGTTTGAGACCCTAAGTCCAAACCCCAGTATCACATACAACACACACACACACACACACACACACACACACACACACACACACACAC